TGGCTTACTGAATTAAACCTCCTCATTACATTCCTTGAGATGTATCCTGTATATGTTGCCTGCGCCATATTGGGTCATCAGTTGTACGGTAAACGGATATTAATTCACAGTGACAATACAGAGACGGTCCAAGCATGGTCAGCAAGTAAATGTCGAAACCCAGCCGTAATGGAAATTCTGCGCAGAATTCACTTTATTACAGCTCAGTGCAACTTTGTCATCAAAATCACGCACATAGCCGGCGTGATTAATAACATTGTTGATGCGCTGTCACGGTTTCAGACACAACGCTTTCGGGAGCTGCACCCTACAGCCGACGGAAATGGCACAACACCACCGGATCTGCTTGCCCGGTTACGACCGTTTCTAACGGGTGAAGAACCACCCATACCGCTGTCAGCGCCGGTGACCTTTTTGCAGCCGAAGTGGCACCTTCTACCCGGAGAGCTTACGCTAATGGAGAGCAGTTTCGAGCTATTCTGCAGAATTACTGCGAAATGTCCATGGCCAGCCACTCCGCAGACAGTCGAAGAATACGTAGCGCACCTGTTCAACCGGGAGTGTTCACCATCCACAATCACAGTGTACCTGTCAGCTATAGCACGGCGCCACCTGTTGCAGCAGCTGACCGATCCAACAACGAATCCCAGGCTGAAGCAGATTGTGGAGGGCACCCGTCGCTTAAGCAGCAGAAAACCAGATCAACGACTGCCAATAACACCTGACCTCCTGCAACGCTTGTCCACCCGACTGCATTTAGCCGCTCCTACCTGCTACGACGAGCACATGGTTTGGGCCGCTTTCACGATGGCTCAGCATTTCCTCCTCCGTGCTTCGGATCTGACATCACCATCGCCAACCACATTCGACGCATCCGCTACACTCCTCCTGCAGGATGTGCGTTGGGACACCATCACGCTGCAGCTAACCATCAAGCGGTCCAAAACGGATCAGCACCGAAACGGGATCACACTTTCTCTGACGTCCATTGCCGCACCGGCAGTACACAGCGCCTGCGTCACTTACGGGCAACAGCGCGAGCAGCAGCGGCCGGCTAATCTACCGTTCTTCATTTTCGGCAGCGGCCGTTATTTGCTCGCACAGACCTGTCCCAAGCGTTTAAGAGAACTCTCCCGGAAGGAGAGGACTCGCGGCGCTACTCATCACACAGTTTCCGCATCGGCAGAGCAACAGCAGCCGCCACCGGCGGCTGTTCGCCAGAAGCCATACGCGAACTTGGACGCTGGAAATCATCCGCGTTCAAGCGTTACATACGCCCCCAATGTCTGCGCGTACCATCATGTTTGGGGCACCTCCTCACTCGCGCAGCTCTCTCGCCATGGTACGCACAGAACCGCACTGGAAGGTGCACTCATACATCCTGACCACGAATCAGGATCCATCACCCTGGCCATGTATCAGGGCATCACCTGGCCACGAATCAGGTGCCGCAAAACCTCCCTGGCCACGTACCAGGAAGCAGCTATTCACCTGGCCACGCATCAGTTGTCCCACTCTACGCATACGCTCCTCCCGGTGGTCGAGCATGTTCTGACGTTTCCACGAGACTCCGCGGCCGAGCTGAGGCTGGCCACATGCCCCAACACTATCGCCGGCGTTTCTGTTATTATGTCGTTAATTATTGTTGTTAACTGTGGTCGTGTAGTTAAAACAAGAACGATATAGTTTCAGACCGACGTATAAACCGCTGCATAATCAGGACAGCAACTATTTTGTGAGGCAGTATTATGGACAAACGCACTAATCAGCTGTTACCGAAACTGTCAGCAAGAAACGCTTATACAGAGGTACTATAATCTTTGCTTCCGGATGTTCGTTTACGAAGACATTATTCCGATTGTTTTTAAAGCTCTGCCTAAAAATGCTGACCAGGTTTGCTTTGTGACAAAATATTATGTCAGTTCTTTGCAGCCGATACAACAAACAACAAGTCGACGGTCGACCAGCAGACTGCAAAAAGTCTTATTTAATGGAAAATGTGCAGTAAAGTCTCGCAGTCTGCGTACAGACACAGTGCAGTACAGCCAATATTTTGCAAGTTGGGGTGTTTATATCGGCTAAATAAATTAAGATCGAGAAAATTTTGCAGTATGCTGTAGTAACCTGTACGCATTGGATAAAATCCGAAAATGTTACACGGCTGCAGTATGCAGAATAACACAACGACACGAACAATCATTGGTTTCTTGATTGCTGAGAAGATATAACGACCGAAATAAGAAGAATATGTCTCGATCCATAAAATTATTAACTGGAAATCGTAAGTAAGAGTGGATAAAATGTAATCCACTCCTCGATTTGTCCTAAGCGTAAGGGCCATTTGCAAGCCAGAGCAATTAAGTTCTCGCTTATTTCTTCACGCTATTTCCCAGGTTAAAGGAATTCCGATGAGAAGTTAGACCATTGTTCCAGTGTTTCATAACGTCAAATTATCCAACAAACCAAACGCGACATGATTTCGCTGCCGCTTGTGTATCGTCCAAATTATATTGCTCAACAGGGACAACGCAAGCTGGCCCGCGCGGCTTGCCGAAGTTCTCGGACCGCCAGTATAAACAGAATCGGATCCAGAATTCTCTGCAGAAAATACAAGGCATTCCCTATCGCGTGGACCAGTGGCAGTTCCACGTTCATAAACTGTAACGCTATCCGGTAGATTTTGTTGGGGGTCCAACATATGAGAATGCTCATCGTAAGCAACGACAAAATCCGAAAGCCGCGATGACCTTTTTTTAACGCAGTCCCCTCCTGTCTTTCACTGTTGGAAGTAACACTTCTGCTGTTCGCAACACGCCCGACATGTTTTCATCGAAACAGCAGATAGGGATACGACAACAGGATTGTTGCCATCCACCACAAAAATCCACAAAGCCACAAAAACCCAAATTTCGATGAACTGGGAATATGCTGGCTGAGCTTCGACCGCCACACTGTAATCTGTGGCTGTCTCCATATTCGGTCGATGGTAAATCAGGTCAGTTAAAAGAAATGGCCCGATTAACAGGTGACAGTACACAACGACAAGTAAACAGATGATTACTGCTGTTTTACCGGAATGAAGGTTGCGATAGTTAATGGGAATCGTGGTCGCCCAGACGCGGTTGAGAGTGATCATGAGATGAGCGTGATGGACCGCAGCGCTGCCCAGATGCAGCATGTACAGTTGCATATTGCACACGATGGATGCTAAGTACCACCGCTGTGCAATGAACTGTAGCAGATTCAAAAGGTCCGCTAGCGTTTCAAAGACGTTGGCGCATAGGAGACCGATTAAATACACCGCAAAAGATGACTGCATTGAACGGTTGGAGTCAAACAAGTAAAGTACGAAGCCGTTAACAATTAAGGTTATGAAACAGAACACCGTAAAGAAGGTGGTTGATCCGCTCCATTCGTAAGAGTTTTCGCTGGAATTATTAGCCAACATGTTTTCCGAAAATTCTAAAACAGTTCTATAACCAAACACGAAAAGCTTTTTATGCTATATGCTACCATATATGCTGCCGTATATAAGCCATTGGGTCGTCCGCAGATAAAATGGCAGCGTGATACTGAACGACATTGATTATTCTTGGTAAACGACATTGATTATTCGAGTATACTAAGCACAAAAAAAATAATAATTTCTTTCGGTCGACTAACGGAGATAAAGCACTGTCGTTGCACTGTTCGTTAATAAAAACACAAATGCCTCTGACATCTGACCATCTCAGCTATTAGCAAAATTATGGTATTGATATCATTCTGCCAAACTTTTAACAATGTGCGAAAGGTCTGGGCGGATATTAGATTATTCCAGTTCTTCCAAGCGTACGACATCGGTAATAACATGATCAGTGTGAGTGCCGGAATCAGATATTGTAAATTAATTAAGCTCGGATACAAGGCGATGTCTTGTTAAGGCGAGGACGATAATTACATAGAATTGGTTTCATTCCTAGTTCAGTATTTACCGAGGGAATTATGACGGTGGCTGTCTCCGGTCGGACAGTTGTAAAGCTTTTCAGTGTGCAGAGCGTAATGGGATAAAAAATAACAGAACTGCGGTTCCCAACATCCCCAACCATCGTTTAAACTGTAATTATAAATAGAGACTAACGATGATAAGCCACCCTGGATTTAACAGGAAGCACAACTACCACAGAAATTTGAACGACTTCACTATAACTTTACGTTGGTATTTACGAGTACTTTACTTAGGTACATTGCTTTATGGCATTTAGGTAAACAATAATTTGTACACATTACTGTGGAAACGGTTGATACTCGAAAATCCACTTGATAAAATACCTTGAGTTAAAATGGCAAAAAAAGTTCATATTGCTTTTCGATGAACGAGAAGGATAGGAAATAGGCTAACCTAGCGGAAATGAATAAATTGCGCATGAATAGTCAGACCATTACATGAGCCACGCTTTCAGTCATTCCGAGTCGGGGCATTGCGAACCCTGCTGTTAAATTGTAAGCTGTCTTCCCCTGGAGGTTGGCAGCGCTGCTCGGACATGGGTGCAAGCTGCACCTTGACTTAGTGCACGTATTCGAAGTCAATATTTTATGCATTGGTTGCTGTCTTGAACCGTAACAGGGCGACCGCTTCTCGCACCAAAGCTCATATGGTTTGCCGCTTTATTTTTCAAACTTTATCGCCGACGCACATCACTATAAATTGTCCACCCAAATCAGATGCCAGATAGCTGTATTTGAAAAAACTAATAACTAGGTGTTTAAGATTTTGTTGAGACATTAGTGTAGAAGTACCAGACAGACTGCAATAAGCCGATAACATTATTGTTCAAACGGGATTCAGTAATTGACTGCACAAAAAGCTAAGGAAGCGGATGCATGACAAATTAAAGTGCACAAAGTAGAAGCAACGCATACTGCAGATTGCAGAACAGAATCGAAAAAGGTACAAGTGACAACACGACAGAAAGAATTAGGAAGCATTTGAAGGACGGTTACCGGTCAGTACAGCCGATTCAGCACTTAACATAATTCCACGTGACTTGGATGTGACCCAAATCCTTGGAAGCCAGTTTCTCGAAGGCGACCGGGGACAGATCGATGGAGCCACTGGCACATCCCCAGCACACATCGACCACCCTGACCTTGACCTGCTTACCCGCCGCTTTGACCAGGGCACATTTGCTGCAGACGGGCGCGTTGTTGGGATTGGAGTGCTTTCCGTACTGCGCCTGGCTGATAGCCACTACCATGTCTTTTGCAGTGTTGAATTTTCCACAGGCGCCCTTCGCCTTCGTCGACGGGGTATAGAAGGTAGCTTTGCCCTGGAAACCCAGCGCAACAGCGCACAAACCAAAGATTGCGAGGAGACTGAGAAAGAATTGAGCGGCCATGTTACAGAGAGTACACAAAAACTGAGAATGAAGAATGTGAAAAGGCGATCGTCAAAGTGATTTCCACTTGGATGCTGTGTTACTGTGATTATAGAAATGCGCTGATCTTTATATAGTTTTTAGGATGCAACTTTTGCATTTATAGCAATAATTTTCCTCGAAGGCGCACTTGAAATATGTTCAGGCAAATCGTCTTATCAAGCGAATCGTTAAGCAGTTTTCGGTATTTGTTTCGAGTGGGAATGGTAACAGGAAAGCGGGATTAACTACTAAAGGTGCCTGATTTTTTTCTTCGCCGAAGGACGAAACGAATTTCGCTGATGGCAGCTAATGGTGAGTCCGGCTGATATCGGTAATGCTTAACTTTGCAGCTTGTCGCCACAATCTGAGTGGATTTTAAAGGAAAGCATATGTGTATTTGCCGGTAGAGAATACAGACACTCAAGTGCATTTCTCCTGTGAATAAATTTTGCAGAGAATGCGGAATAAGCAGTTTGTTGAAATGTCAGTATGAATGTATGATTAATTTTATTAATGTAATAACTGATACTACTGAGTGTCACTGTTTTATTCAATTAACACAAAAGGTAGGCTAAATGGGCATGGCTGCTTGATTTTCACAATGATTTTCCAGGATGGGAATTATTTTTGTAGAAATTCGATGTTTTTCTTATCAAAACTATTCCGGTGTATGGTAAACATGATTTTGCATAAGGTATCTGTAATGTACACTCATTGTCAGCTGCATTATCAGTTCGTTTAGCGCGCTACTGCGTTAAAAAACGAGCGCCGAGTCAGTTAAAATCAGAAATCTACAGTAATTTTTTCAAAATTTCAATGCACAAACTCTATCGACGGTCTTAGCTATTTTGCTATGAAAAAGCTACTGGATAGTAAACAGTACCGTCAGTACGTGTACGGTGTAATGCGTATCTACTTACTTATATGGGTGTAAAGAAATATACCTAGTGTTAACCAGTTTGATTAACGGATACCTTTTCGCGAGTTTCGCGAGTTGTATACACTAAATTTTTAGCAATTTCGTTTTTATTTTTCCTGCGAAAAGACAACATCGAACCATCCGAATTTTAACATCGTTGCGCCATTTATTCTGTGGTGCAGTCAGCATAGTATCACAGACTGCAGTCGATCTGGCAAACAAGGTAGGAGAATTTTATCAGACGAAATTCCCTTTTCGAAATTGACAGATACAACAGCGCCCAACAACGCCGATAAGGTCGTCTCTAAGCCATAAATATACAGTTAAATGGCTGTGACCATTCGATTTTTGTTTGCATTCTGGTCTGACAGCAAAAAGAAATGAACATTATTAAATACGAAACACGTGGAAACGTCTAGCACTGAATCTCCGTTAGCTGTCTGTGCAGTTTTGAAGAGGATACGCGAGGTACTGGTGCCGCTTATTTGTTGTTCGGGAAAGCACTTGGCATGTTTTAAATAACAGAGAAAAGTCTCGGCTTCTACAAAATTTTTCGTGATGCATTCTCTGAAACGTCTCGAAATATCTCGGAACGTTTGCTTCGGCATGCACAAAAAACCTCTACGGTTGCAGCAGCTGTTACCCAGTATTCTGAGCAAGGAACGAGCGTAACCGAGCTGATTTTCAAATAAAAACGTTTGTAAGCATCGACTGTATCACATTTCGGAAGTACAAGCTTACGACAAGTTTGTTATTTGAGACATTATTCCCGTTTCGAATCCGGCATTATGAACCTTTTCACGACCTTGCTCCTTGCGGCAGCCATTTTGGCCTTTGCGGTAAGTCCACTATGGATTTTGCATGCAGCTGTACTACAAATATTTGCAAGAAATTCCAAAATAAGATTAAACGATTCAGTTAATGTCGAAACGCTGCTTCAGTTGTTGTGCCGTGTATTCCTAGAGCGGTGTCTTGGCCAGGGATGATTCCGTACCATTTTTCTCACAATCAGCAGAAGAAAAGCCGAAACATTCAAAATTCTCGAAGTTCGGTAAGTCTAACCAAAGAAAGTAACGGTCAAGGCCCTATTTTTGGTTGCTTTAATCGTCTGATAATTATTGCATTTGTTGCACCTTGCATTGCATTGTATTGCATTTGTTATCACCTACAGCGCAATAAGACGCATGAAAGCCTGAACAATTTTTGCATTTATGCGTGTTAAAAGACACAGTTATTTTTTACATCGATACCATTATTTGCCACGATTCATATTTCTCGGAGTCAGTTATAAAAGATTTATTATATTTTGTCGCCCTTATATACATAAACAACAGTTTTTATGTAGCACGGAAAACGCATCACGCCACATCCAAAAAGCCCCGTCTTCTCCTCAAGAGCCCCATCCTGTGGCCCAGACCCGGTAAACTGGGTACCGGACAATAGATAATAAAAACCGGATGAAATTAAACCGTCCGGCATGAGCGTACGCGTACAAAGTGTTTCCAGAATTTGTTAACTGCAATCCGAAGAAACCTGGATTAGTGAACTAACTAGTAATTCGCGGTTGTATCTGTAAAAAAACTGCTTTAACTTTATCAGAATCGGTTGCGCTAGTTTGATAAACTCTCTGATAATATTAAAGTGTTACATCATGTACAGTTTGAACCATGTGACGCATTAAATGACTCGGAAAAGAAAATTAGCTCATTTGCACTAAAGCTAGCGCGTTCTGTATGTAACTTCTTGTCTGGGTTTCCTGAATTAATTAAAACTTTAAGTCGTAAATTATGAAACTATCAATTTACATATTCTGTTATCGGCCACTTATTCGTAGATCTAGAGCACGACATTATGGGAACGTGCATACTTAGAGCAAACTGAGCAAGTATAACCCGCAAATTTCGCAACAGCATGTTGCCTAATAATCTTGAGAATATCACCGACCAGATGTATTTCGAATGGTTTAATGCGATGCAGGTATCAGCATATCACGCGGTTATTGTTGTATCGTAAAAGTTATGATGCAAAGGACGAATAACTGTAGTGGCAGGATAAGGTTTCTTGTTGCTCGATATCTTCAGCTTAAGGGAAGTGGGCCGGTATATGGTACCAAATTCGTGTACATGCACGAAATCTTTCGCTTTCGCGCACTCCCTAACACGTTTTTGTTTTATTTTATGACATTCTGTAGCCAGATGATTTGTATACACGGGTGTGAAAACGGTTTGTGCGCGCAACATCCGGTTCGAGAGTTATGGCTGTTAGAAATACCGAAAAGTTTAAATTCATTTCGGTGTACCAAAATCTCATTATGGACCGATCTCCTTCAGATTTTGCACATATATACACACGGTCATGAAGATCGTTTTTACACCGATCCAGACTTTCATGAATTTTTTCAAATTTTAAAATGGATTTTAAAAAATTTGAAATTCATTTTAAAATTCAAAAAACATGCTAGAACAGTGGATCGATGTAAAAACGATCCTCATGGCCAATGCATTTATGTGCAAAGTTTGAAACAGATTGGTCCATAATGAGTTTTGGTACACCGGAATGCATTTAAACTTTTGGGAGTTTTCTAACAGCCATAACTTCCGAACCGGATGTTGCGCGCACAAACGGTTTTCACGCCCGTGTATACAAATCATCTGGCTACAGAATGTTATAAAATACGAGTAAAACAAAAACGTGTTTGGGAGTGCGCGAAAGTGAACTTTTCGTGCATGTACCCGAATTCGGTGCCATGTACCGGCCCACTGGATACGCTGACTTTGGACGACTCTGCAGCGCCACCAAAGTCATTAGGATAGTGGCTCGTATGATTATCGTAGAATAGTGATTATCGTAGGATAGTGGCTCCAAGTGTTCCTTGTGACTTAACAGCGAATACTTATATTACTCGACGCTTTAGAAAACAATATTTCCATCTAATTTTTGCAGCAAATTTGTAATCGTTGTAATGGGTTGTGTGATGCTTTTTTCCTAGCAAAAGTTAAAAATAATGATGGAAAATTTACCACAATTTAACAAATTAAAAAAACTGAAACGGTTTGATTTATTACTAAACTCTGGAAAGATTTTTTTACGGGTATAAAAAATTGAAAATCATACGCCTGTCAGCATCCGAAAATTATTCAATAAAATTTATTGAATAATTTTCGGATGCTGAAAGGCGTATGTTATTAACAACGCCATCCGGCATTTATCCCGGTTTTTTGTATAGCCGCGCCCTCCGCCGCACCGGTTGCATCGACATTCTGACAAATAACCTAAGGCCTGTTCACTGGCAGCGTATTTTACTTAACCCTCTAGCTTTTCGGATGCTGGGCGTGCTTTCTCGGTGAGTGGTGAACGACGTCACCGACCCGCCCTCCGTGCCCTCTCCCCGGTTCCAACCGCGCCCCTCGTCCTCTTGGCCTTATCCACCGGGATGTTCCTGCCTTACTTCCACAAAAAAACCACATCGTCCTTTATTTTTCGGCTGGCCGGGACGTTGGCGTTATTCTGAATATTATTTTTTAAAACAGTAGGATTTTTCTGCGGATTATTCCTGGCGGTGTGGTACTCGGTGGTGTGGATGTGGCGTGTGCGGCGGTGGTTGGAAGTGGGCGTGAAGCCGGCGGTGGTGATGATGGTGGCCATGGTGACGTATCTGGCGGAAATATTTTTCCATGTGTGGACCCGTGGCGTATAATTTCGTCTCGGGGGCGTGTACACGCGGGAACGCTCGGACGCGCTGATTGGCGTGATGTGTTTGGGGATGCTGACGGCCTTCGGGAAATTAGGCAGGTTTCAGCGGGAATTTTTCGGGAATTTTATTGCATTTTTATTTGGATGTTTGTTGTAATGATTTTATTTTTACCGCTTTTTTGTGACGCTGTTTGAGGAATGTTTTACAAAAATTAATCGGTAAGGTAAGTATACTACTGGAATTTTTTTTCGCATTTTCTTGTGTTTTTATTTTAATGCCTGTTTTAGCAGTTTTATTTTCATTGCTTTCTTGCGGTGATATTTGAGGAAGTTTATGCATAAAGTTTTTATATATTTCCGGGAAATTTGGTAGGTTTTAACTGATTTTGTTCGGTTTTTGCTTTCTAGTAATTTTATTTTACGACAAGGAGCAGTGTGCTAGAATGTAATCGGTAAGGTAATTACCTATGTAAGTATGTATCAAAATGGGGGCCACCATTTTATTGAATTTTACCAACGCGCGCTTCACAGCAATGGAACAGTTATAACATGATCATGAACAGTAACTATCACAAAAACAATACTCGTATTTCAGTAAGTTTATCCAAGCCAGGCCATTAAAGGCCGCTATTCCAGGCCGTTGAAGGTTAAACCAAAACCCAGTGGTAACCCGTTGTACAACACTGTTTGGCCAAAAATTTGTTAGTTTTAAGTTTTTTACCTGTAGTTTTGCGTACTTTATTTTTTAACAAGCTTGCTCAACAGATATACTCAGTATTTGCCAATACATGGACAGTTGTAGGGTTTTATGGACCGCTTTATATATCAACCACTGCCAAAAATTCGTATAGAGTGTACTTGTTTTTCAAAGTCCATATTATGTTGACGTGCATGATTAACCGTTGACGTGCATGATTAATGCTTCGCTGAAGTCCGGAGTATATCCTGATATTTTCAAAAGTGCCGATGTAGTGGCAATACCAAAGCAAGCCAATGCCCAACAGTCAGATGACTATCGCCCCATATCCCTCGTATGCAATCTCTCCAAAACTTTTGAGAAGGTAGTGCAGAATCAGTTGGTGACCGCTCCGAAAAAAAATCCTTTCCGACAAGCAGTCTGGATTTAGAGAAGGACACTACTGTGAAACACTGCTCCTTAAAGTTTCGGAGAGATGGCGAAAAGCAATCGATAACGGGCATGTCACTGCTATATGTCCTTGTGACCTGAAAAAGGCGTTTGATTCGGTTTCCCATGCCAAACTCCTCGAAAAACTAAGAACGATCGGAATCGAAGGCAACGTGTTGAAGTGGTTTCATGGTTACTTAACCAGTCGGAAGCAGAGAGTGAAAGTAACCGCGCGTGTGTCTGACTGGCTTCCAGTGCGGTCGGGAGTTCCGCAAGGGACGCTGATGGCGCCTGTACTGTATACGGTTTATACGAACGACATGACTAACGGAAGCGACGCAGAATGTTTTGCAGATGACACCATACTGTTCGGATGCGGTGCCACCAAAACAGAAGCAGCAGCGAAACTGACTGTTCAAATTAACAACGTGACGGCTTGGCTTGCAGACAACACCTAGTGCATTAACGAGAAGAAGTGCAAGCTAATGTACATCTGCTCGGACGCAAAGAACAGCCAGCACTCTCCTGCTGTAACGATCAACGGTTATCAGATGGAAGCGGAACAGTCGGTCAAGTATCTTGGCGTTTACATTGACCGCAACCTGAAGTGGAGTGTGCATTACGATCACGTACTGCGGAAAGTCAACTACGGCATCGCAATGATCAACCGCGCGAAAGACGGCCTGGATCTGCCTCAGCGTAGGAGCCTTTACCATGCCTGTGTACAGCCACACCTTGACTACGGGTCAGGTACGTGGTCGCCGGCATCTTCGGCTTTACGCGACAAGATAGACAGGGCACAGCGGAAAGCACTGCGGGCGATTTCTGATTACAAGGAGCGGGTTACACCCGAGCTGTATCAGAAACTGCGCATCCTGCCGGTGTACGACCGTTGGAAGCAGTCGGAAGCGGTTTGGTTGTATAAGATCTACAACAACGAAGCACACCATCCGCCGAGGTACATGGTCGAGATGATCGACTTCACGGATTTCGGAATGCGGTTCAACCTGCGGAACCCAACGAGAATTGCTGCCAGAGCGAAGAAGAAGATCGGAGAAGGCACGCTGGCCATGCGACTAAAGAACATCTTTGAGCGCATTCAAAAAGTTAACTTGCATATACTCAGTGTTGATGGTGTGGGATTTTTCAAATTTGCTCTCCGAACAGTTGATCTGTCTTAGAAATTGTTATTTTGTTTAGTGTTGTGCCGACCAGACGTTGAAGTCCCGTTTAGCGGGTTGTCTGCTCCTGATGTAATAATAATAATAATAATAATGCATATTTTGAACACTTATGCCATGTGAACACTAAAAAGAAACGTAAATAACGACACATAAACTGCGTAGTGCGCACACAAAACGTACCAAACGATTGTGGACATGTAAAAGTGCTAAAATTGTTATGACACGATGTGCAGTCCATCTCATCACCACGGACAATATTGCGAATTAGGTTTGCCGGTAACAATATTCCCACTGCAACAAAAAAAATTTTAGCTCATTCAAAATTACGAATATCGATCGCTGCCGTAGAACTCGAAATAACTTACGCATTGCAATAGTTGCACACATAGACCACGGTGTTCGGACCCAGTGTATCACAATCCTTTCGGACTCCACATCCCACAACCGTTGTATTGGCCCACATTATCTAAACATTCAGTTGTATTTTAAAGCGCTTCCAGCACGAACTTCTGCGTTTGTTAACGGAAACGCTTGTCAGTATTTGCATGTACCTGTGTGTAATGGCCAACCGTGCCGGTCGGTTGCTTGCAGTAGCGGAAATGATCCTTCTCACTGTACCACTGCTCAAGAGCGTCCGGCCACGAGAGGGCACTTTCTTGTCGCCAGGCAATATTTTGACCACATGAATTAAAACCTGCAACCGCATGCAATAATAATTTTTGTGGAATTCTGATAATAATAATAACTTCTAATAATTTCATGTGGAATTATATTAGTAAAATCATGTTTAACTTGCCTGAAATCTTTCTGTCCGACGCAGCGTTATGCGGATGCGCCACGCTGGGACATGTGTTGGCCCATTCCTGCGCCCGCCGCGCCGCATCCTCACTCCATGTCAACATCTTCATATTGCTGGCGCCCGCCGTGCGGCGGTACTTGTTGTGAATACCGACAATCTCTTTGCCGGAACTGGACGCGCCCTGTTCGGAGGAACCCTGGCTCGGCGATCCGCTATCGCCATTTTCGCTGCCGGTTGCCGAACTGCTTTCGTTGCCGGTGTCTTGCGTGCTGCTGCTTTCTCCAGGGGTTTCTTCAATGATGTCATGCGAAGTGCCGTCAGACGATGCGGATCCGCCGTCGGTGCTGCCTCCCTCATCGATGTGCAGACTGCCATCATGGTCAATACTGAAGGGAATCTGGTGGGAAAACGTTTGGCTCCACACCAGGCCGCTGTGAACTACCGGGAGGTCACGAAGCATCAGGGTCGTCAAGAAGAACAGACACAGTACGCTAAATCGGGATGCCATTGCTCGGAGAACGTGAAAAGGCGGACGTTAAAGTGATTTTTACTTATGTTACTGCGATAATATAAGAAATGCGGTGATCTACACGGTATATATAGTTTTAGGACTCAACTTTTCGCAATAATTTTTCTCGAAGATGCATTTAAAATATGTTCCGGCAAATAGTCTTGTCTAGCGAATTTCTGAGTGGTTTTTTGGTATTTGTTATGAGTGGGAATGGTAAAAGGAAGGCGGATTAACAATTATAAGTACTTGATTTCATTCTTCGAGGAAGGGCGAAACGAATTTTGCTGATGGCAGCTGAGTCCTGATGATAAAGATTAGCTTAACGCAACAACTAGCCGCCACCGTTTGGAGTGGATTTCAAAGGAGAAGCATGTGCGAAATTTGCCGGTAAAGAATTCAGTCAAGTGTAATTTCCATTGCTGATACATTTGTGCACGAAATGCAGAAAAACCAGTTTGATCAAACATCAGTAAGGTTTATTAATGGTAATATTATCACAGTTTTTTTAATAAATATAGAATAAATATAAAATAAATATAGAATAAATATAGAATAAATATAGAATAAATATAAATATAGAATTCTCTTTGGGCTTAGAAATAAGTTAAGTGGCATGGAAATCTTTGTGTAGAAATTCGATTTTTTCGCATCAGAGATATAATCCGGTGTAATTATAATTTTACATAAGGCAAACCCACTATCACCTGCATTATCAATTCCTTTTGCACGCCATTGCATCTGAGTCCATTGAACAAAAAAAAGTCCGATTTGAACCCTTTCTTGTCATAATTTTTAGCACGCTATTGGTAACCGTTTCTATCTTTATCTGATCTGGAAAATCTACCTGAAAGTGAACAGCAATGTGTAAAATCTGCCTATATGGTTGTAAAGAAATGTATGTCATTTGCTTAAAGGGTGTTTTTTTTCCCGAGATGTATGTACAGTATCTGTATATTCCGCATTTATAGCAGTATGGCTTATAATTTAAAAAAACTAACATCAAACCATTAATTGCATTTTACACTCGTTCTGTCACTGAATCTGTAACGCGGTCAACATATGTAGTATTGCAGAATACTACGGGTATAAACAAAAGACTGGATTACGATTTTATCAAGAAAAATTCACATTTTGAGCATGGAAATAAAGTAGGTAGTAGGCACAAATACCAAGTTTATCACCTAAACGCAGACAAGGTCACTTATAAGCCATAAACATGAATGAATGTCTTCATCAAATATAAACCGGTTTTTGTTAGTATTGTCCTGCGCATAACAAAAATACTGGAAGTAAAATATATATTAACGACATAATAAGAGAAACGCCGGCGATTGTGTTGGGGCATGTGGCCAGCCTCAGCTCGGCCGCGGAGTCTCGTGGAAACGTCAGAACATGCTCGACCACCGGAAGGAGCGTATGCGTGGAGTGGGACACCTGATGCGTGGCCACGTAGGTTTTACGGCACCTGATTCGTGGCCAGGTGATGGATCCTGATTCGTGGTCAGGATGTATGAGTGCACCTTCCGGTGCGGTTCTGTGCGTACCATTGCGAGAGAGCTGCGCGAGTGAGGAAGTGAGAACTGGCCTTTATTCAAAATTTTACAAAGTACCAATGCGGAAGTTTAAACAGTAGAACCATGATGCTAAAAAAGGGTGGGAAGGCGGGTAACTCCCAGTAGTTGAAAGGTCACATTCAAGCGCTAACTGTTGCAGAAATTATTCAATCCGACACGCGTGCAAACCGAATGAAATGACAGCCATCACCCAACGCACATGAACAATCTTTTCGCGAAATGCTATCAAGTAAATAGGTTAACTCCCGCTGCCAGTGAAAGGGACGGAGAGGCAATCAGAGGACTGGACAGGCATAACTGGCGATGGACAGGCGAGCGCGGGATCCACTGCAACGACAAAGGGCAGGCAGACGATCCGCTGGTAAACAGGACGATTCCGCATTCCACGGAGATAGAGAGGAGGCAGTCATCAGGTCCGTGCGAAGTCCAAGCAATTGTCCATTAATGCCCTGCTTTAACGAGAAATCAGGCTGGCCGGCGTTTCTCTTACCGCGTTAAACAAAGTTAGCGCCCCGGCGCAAACTTCCATTAATCATGAAACATGTGGAAACGCTTAGCGTTTTAATTTCTGTCAGCATTCGGCGCAGGTTTGAAGAGGATACGCGAGGTGCTGGAGCCGCTTATTTGTCGTTCGCGGAAGCGCTTATGCTTACTTTAAATAATGCAGAGAAAAGTCTCAGCTTCTACAAAAGTTTTCTTGATATCCTCTGAAAGTCTCGACGAAAATGCTGCAGTATGCATAAAAACCTCCACATTTTCAATAGCTGTTACTCAGTATTCTGCACAAAGAACAAACTCAGCCGAGCTGATCTATAAAAACGTTTGGAAGCTTGAATTACTGTATTTCCAAAATTTTATTGTAGAAGTTATTCTCCGTTTCAAATCCGGCATTATGAACGTCTTCATGACCTTGCTCATTGCGGTGGCCATTTTGGCTTTTGCGGTAAGTGTACTGTTCGTATGCATCTGCTTTACAAATACTTGCAACAAAACCCAAAATGAAGTTTAAAACTTTAATTAATGTTGAAAAGCTGCTAAAACTTTGGTGGCGTGCTTTTCAGAGCGCCGTGACGGCCAGGGACGACGCACCATCAGTGGAGGAGTGCCCGGAAAAGTCGAAGATCTCGAAATCAGGTAAGTGTCGCTCCATGTTATTCTTCCCAAAGTCAGTAACGGGCAACACTCCATCTTTGCTAGCTTTTATCGCCTAACAATAATTTTTACGCTGTTGCGTTTATCATCGACAGCACACTAAACCTGCAATTTTAACAGATATTTGCTAAAAGCCTACAGTTTCTGCATTGATGTTTTTTTTTAAAACGTTCGGCTGTTTCTTGCATGGACTGCGGTTTCTTACGACTCGCATTTCAGGGAGTCAGTTGCTTGCTAGCAGGAAAATTACATAATATTTTTGCTTACGGTAAATATATGTACTCAAGCAACTATGTTTAGCAGCCGCAACGGGATCCGCCACATCAAAAAAGCCCCATTTGCTCCTGAGGAGCCCGATTCTCGCGAGACACCGGGACAGCAGAAATAAAGGATTCCGTGCTATCTAGACGACTGAAAATTAGAGAAACGTGATTCTATAAATTGTCAACATGCGAAGCGCAGGATGAAATCAAAGTTCAAACAGCATGTATACATATTACATAGTACAGAGTACAGAGCAGTTTAATAATATCTGGATTAGTTAAGGAAGATAAACGCTCCTTCTTTTCGGTTGTTTCAACCTCTGTTAATTTTCTCAGCAAATGTCAAATGTAACGTTCAGTTGACAAATTTATTACTGCTAATTCATATGGGTCACTATTGTTGTGCATGAAATACTTAGAAAGGAACTCTTTTGCGTATGCAATTGGCTGGCAAATTTTGGTAAATAAATAATTTCGTTCATAACTTTTAATTTTAAATGGCTATTTAAAAAAAATTAGAAAACGATGCCAGAACACCAGGGAAAGACGCGTAAATGTTGGCACATAGACTGGGTACATAGGTAGCTTGCATTACGCGTGACGTGCGGCCCGCGCTCAAGCGCTGACTCTGACCACTCAAACATTAAGGTTACCCCTATTTTGGCTTTTACCGTTCGCGAATGTGGAGATCCTGCGATATCGACTCAAAACTCAGTCTTGACCATTCTAAAGTGTTTCTTAGTTAAAATCATGAAAAATTCAACCCCTGTAACCAGTATCATACGTTCAACAGTAAACTTTGAAATTCAACATTTGGGAATTCCGCTTAAAAATTAACTAGTCTGACTACATTGAACTGAGATTTTCTGTTACCGGCCTATAAAATGTAAAACACGATTCTCCAGCACCTTGCGAGACCTTTTTTGAAAAAACTCCATTTTAAAGTTGCAACTTGCAAAAAACACTTCGTCGGTTGCTTGATTCGACAATAACTCGAGGAAAATAAATTTTTTTTAAAATCGCCCTCGCAATTAGACTTTTACGATATCCATACATCCACTGCCAAAATTTCAAAATTCTACTCTATACCGTTAGTCACTAGTTAATTTTCAAAGCCTATTAACCGCATTTTTAGCTGGAGGATTCGAAAGTTCATGCAGGGATAAATCGCATTTGAAGATGTTGGCAGTCTCAGTTCACCACACATACCACGACGTCGTAGGAATAGCCCGAGAGACCAACTAGACAGCCGATTGTGCGCTGCCCAGCTACACTCATGTGTGATCAAAGTCTTTTGTCTTCAGAGTTTGCATCCATTTCGCTACGGTTATATGACCCAGTAAAACAAAAGATACAAATCGCAAATAGGTGCTCCCCATTCATTTGACTGCA